TGGGTGATACAAACCGCCAGACTCCAGTCCAGCAACTGCACAAAGAGAAGGTGCTGGGAACGGGAGGGGGAGGAGATGGTTTGCTGATCCCGGCCGTGTTGGGGTTGAATAAGCCGCACATCAGCACTTCACGGCTCCAGTCCCCGTCTGTTCAGACAGTTATCCAACCATTTTGCCTCTCAGGTCACTGTACAGGGACTGATCATGTGGCTGTAAAGTCTGGCCAGAGAAGACAGGAAGAGAATGTCACTAATGTCACAGGTGTAACAGTCAGCGGTGCAAATAATAATAATAATAAATAGGAATCCGAGCATTTCATACAGCGCCTGATCACGCCATTAAAACACAAGGAAACCTGTCTAAGGTTTCTCCCTGACCCGCCCGGGAATCGTACTCAGTTCCTCTCGCTTGTGAGGCGAGGGGTCCAACCCCTGAGCTACAGGTCTCCCCTCGTGTCACAAGGTGTGGCAGGTCGCTGGGGGGGAACAGGAATCAGGGAGCCTGGGGTAGAGAGTGTGACGGGGTGACTGTCAGCAGCACGTACACAGTGAGCTGCACTGAGGAGACAGGTGCTGACACACCATGGACACACAGCTGACCACCGCCCCCCACCCACCCACCCACCCACCCCGTGGGCAGCAGCTCTCAGCAGAGGGTTGGCAGAGGTCTGGAGGAGGGTATGTTGCCCTCATGGCCACTGGCACATGGTGCAGGGCTCAGGGCAGAGGCTACAAGAGGACGTTTGGATCCCACACAATGAAATATGAATCATCTCTCACCGTGTAGGTGGCATTGGGATCAGAGGCCTCAGCGAGTTCCTGCAGTAAGAAAGTCAGAGTGAATATAAACAGTCAGGAGATGGGAAGAGTTGTGCTGAAGGGACAGAGAGCAACGGAAACCTGTCTTTGTGTTTCACATCTGATTAACAATATCATCATAGATTGTGTTTACAGCACAGAACGATGTCTGTGTCTGTGCTCGAGCTCTCTCCCCCACTGGGGCTCTCTACTCTAACCCCATTCCCTGCTCTCTCTCTCTCTCTCTCTCTCTCCCCATCGTGTCTGTGCTGGGGCTCACTCCCCCACTGGGGCTCTCTCCTCTAACCCCATTCCCTGCTCTCTCTCTCTCTCTCTCTCCCCATCGTGTCTGTGCTGGGGCTCACTCCCCCACTGGGGCTCTCTCTTCTCACCCCATCCCCTGCTGTGTTCTGTCATGTCTGTGCTGGTGGTCTCCGAGACCGTATCTTAGTGAAAGGCTCTGTGTAAGTTCACCTTATTGTTGCACAGTGTTTGAAACTGGACTGACACATCCACAGAGTATGTGGAGTCGGGGAAAATAGCAGAATGGATAGCAATCTGCTGCAAAACAGACAGCAGAGAGTAGGGGTAAAGGGCAGCGGCTCAGACTGGCAGGGGTGGGCAGTGGGGTTCCACAAGGATGGGGATTGGGACCCACTGTTGTTCACAATATACATTAATGATTTGGACTCGGGACTCAGAAGGACAATTTCAATATTTGTGGACGAGACCAGATCGGGGGGAATAGTATCCAGAGGAGGACGGTCACACATTACAGCAAAACATTAATAAACTTGCTGAGTGGGCACTTAAATGGCAAATGCATTTCAATGCATCATCGAGACGTCTCAAAGCTTCACAGAATATACTGTAAAGCCAATTGACTATATTTTGGGGCGAAACACGGCGCCAATTGCACCAGCGACGTCCCACAAACAGTCTGGATTGATGGACCAAATTATTATTTTAAAAAAGTCATTATTATCCCAGAAAAGCGATCCGCCAATCGACTAACAGCCGGGTTCCTACTTACTGCTGATAAACAATGTGTGTGTGTGGTGTGTGTGTGTGTGTGTAGGTGGTGTCAGGAAAAATTTTCTCCTCGCCCAGGAATCGAACCCGGGTCCTCTCACAGGCAAAGCAAGTGCTCTAACCACTGAGCAACAGGACCATAGACAGATGGTAAATGAGATGAGGAGGAACTGCTGTACACAGAGGGCAGTGGGAATGAGGAAGCTGTGGTCTCGCCCTAACCTCAGGTCTCTGGCTTGCGAGGCGAGTGCTCTAACCACTGAGCTACAAAATAATCCTTGCATTTGATATATCACCTTATCACATCATCGAGACGTCTCAAAGCCCTTCACAGAATATACTGCAAAGTGAATTGACTGTATATTTTGTGGGCGACACACAGCAGCCAATTGCGCACAGTGACGTCCCCACAAACAGCCTGGACTGAGTGACACATTTTTTATTTCTTTTTGAAGGAATTACTTCCCCCAGAAAAGCAATTTGCCAATCGACTAACAGCCGGGTTCCTACTAACTGCTGGTTAAACAGAGGCGCGTGTGTGGAGGAAGGAAACTTGCCCAACATTTAGTCCTACCAGGAATCAAACCCTACTCTAACCGCTGAGCTACAGGACTCCACAGTCCATATACCAGCGATGGAAAGATAACAGCGAAGGTTTACTATGACTGTACCAGTGCTGGTTGGCTACTGGTATTAGGGCAGACGGGAGAGGTTGGGCTGTTTTTTGCCAGAGAAGAATCACTCAAGAGAGGGCCTAATGGAGGTGTTTACAATTATAAAAGGGTTTGATAAAGTCAGCATAAATAGGCAACTGCAACTTGTTGGGGAGTCTGTAACCAGGAGACGGACACAAGTGTATATTAGCGCCAAAGGGATGTCAACCAGAATAGGAGGAACTCCTTCACCCAGAGAACGGTGACAATCTGGAGCACTGCCTGAGTCAGAGGGAGAAGTGGGAGGATTGTGTGTCTACTGTGGGGTATAAACACTGGCACAGACTCGTTGGGCTGAAGGCCCATCTCCACACCGTACAGTCCAGGTAAATCTATGTAAATAACCATTTACTTAACCTTCTGTTTAACTCTCCCCAGTTTATGCCCCCGTTGGGTTCTATTCTATAGTGCAATGAGCTTTTATTATCATTACCGTAGAGTCCTGAAGCTCAGTGGTTAGAGCACTTGTCTCGCAAGCGAGAGACCTGGGTTTGATTCCCAGCAGAGAGAAATGTTGGTCAAGTTTCCTCACTGCACACGTCTCTGTTTACTGAACAGTAAGTAGGAACCCGGTTGTTTGTCGATTGTCGGATCTCCTTTCAGGGGTTAATAAAAACAATCGTTCACTTCAAACCACAATTGTTTGTGGGGACGATGCTGTACGCAATGGGCTGCCACGTTTCGCCCACAGATTATACTGTCAATTCACTTTACCGTATATTCTGTGAAGCGCTTTGGGACGTCCTCCCGACGTGAAAAGCGCTATATCAAATGCAAGGATTATTATTATTATTACTCTGTGAAGCGTTTTGAGATGTTTTCTACGATGTGATGAGGCGCTGTGTCAAATGCAATGATTATTATTATTGCTATCTATCTCAGAGGCCTTTTTTTTAAGATAATTAAAAGTAATCAAAACTGATTTAATGCACATTGTCTGTGGACAGGACTCCGGCCTTAGGGAAGGTCAGAATCGAGCCCCACCTCTATGACGGTCTCTGGTCCGGTTCCTGAGCCAGGAGGGTCCACAGTATCCCAGGGAACCGGTGATGACAGCACAGCCCGGCCTGGCTCATCAGCAGGACCTGGGGCAGACCAGTCACTGGGGGCAGGGAATCCTCCCCCTCAGCTCCTGTTAACACAGCAGCCAAAGCCCTGACTAACGGGGAGGGTGGTCCTCGCTGGACAAGCAGCGGGAAAGCGAGTCAATGGCAAACTATGTGGGTTTAGCTGGTTAGCCTCCAGCAGTTACCCCAACGCACACTCTGGGGTCCACAATGATTATGGAATACAATTAATTTCAGGCATTTGATTATGTAGAATCATAGAATATTACAGCACAGAAGGAGGCCATTCAGCCCATCGGGCCTGTGCCGGCTCTTTGGAAGAGCTTCTCAATCTTTTCCCAACTATCTTAAATCCATGTCCCCTGGTTACTGACCCACCCGCCATGGAAGCACTTTCTCTCTGTTCATCCTATCGAATCCCTTCATTATTTTGATCACCTCTATTAAATCTCTCCTTAACCTTCTCTGCTCCGAGGAGAACAATCCCAGTGACCACCATACAACAACAACAACAACATCATACATGTGTAAAGCGCCTTTCACAAAAGAGGACGTTCCAAGGCGCTGGACAGTCAGTGTTTCAGACCCGAGCTGGGGTCGGGATCGGGGTGGATTGAGGGCGGGGGGGGATCAGGGTGAGGGAAAGCACGATCGAAGACTCGGGTCTTGAGATGGGTCTTGAAGTAGGTGAGGGAGGGGGGGAGGCGGAGGGACTGTGGGATGGAGTTGCAGAGGGTGGGGCAGAGTGGCAGAAGGCAGAGCGCCCGCCAATAGTGGGCAGGAAATCAGGCCATCTATTATATAGAATCATGGAGGCGGGGAACGAGAAGCAGACCACAGCGCACTGAGCGGAGGGAGTGGACAGGATGGTGGGGGATTAGGAGGTGGCAGAGGTCGGGGGGAGCAAGACCATGGGGGGCTGTGAAAGTGAGGACCAGGATCTTCAACTGTCTCCTCTGGGGGAGGGGAAGCCGGTGGGGTCAGTGGATTACAAGTTAATTGGTGAGTTTCAGGAGAGAAAACAGTGTTTCCATCACATGACAAACAGTGAGATCAAAGCTCGAACATTAATAATAATAATAATAATAATAATAATCCTTGCATTTGATATAGCGCTTTTCACGTCGGGAGGACGTCCCAAAGCGCTTCACAGAACATACTGCAAAGTGAATTGACTGTATATTTGTGGGCGAACGCGGCAGCCAATTGCGCACAGCAATGTCCCACAAACAGTCGTAGATTGAAAATGACCAATTAATTATTGTTTTGGGTTTTTGAAGGGATTATTATTAGGCTCTGTGTGGAGTAAGGAAACTTGCCCGAGGTTTGGCCCTCTGCCTGGAATTGAACTCAGGTCTCTCACTTGCAAAGCGAGTGCTCTAACCACTGAGCTACAGGACTCCACGCTCTCCAACAATTGTTTTACTCACTTTGTTCTTTGCTCTTCGCACATTGTTGATGTTCTCATACACGTTGGGAGCAGTAACTGTAAGAATAGGTGTCAAGTCATCCAAACTCTGCAGCTCATGTCCTCCCCCGGACCAGGCTCCGTGACCCCATCACCCCCACCATCGTCCGGCTCCATTGGATCCCCATCACCAAGAGGACAGAGATCAACATCCTCATCCTCACCTTCAAAGCCCTCTATGGCCTTCCCTCTTGCTACCTCTGCCCTGCTAACCCCTTACCAACCTGTCCCCTCCCTCCGCTCAGTGGGCTCCGACCTGCTTCACATCCTCCGCTGACCACCCCACCATCGACGGTCGGGCTCCAGCCTCTCTGCCCCCACCTTCTGGAACTCCATCCCACAGTCCCTCTGTCTCACCCCCTCACTTGCCTCCTTCATGGCCCATCTCAAGTCCCTCTTCTTCAGCCAACCATGACTTTGGGCCGTCCTCCCACCCTCCCTTACCCCAACCCCCACCCACTCCCTGAGCCCAAATCCCTGACTGTCCCGAGTCCTGGGAGGTCCTCGCGATGTGAAATGCCATCGTGTCTAAAAGTCGTGTTGTATGTATCGGGTGGAACAGGAAGCAGTCTCTCTCGTCAGGAAGGGGGTTAGGACTCGGGCTCAGGGATTGGAGAGACAGGACGGTGATCTGATCACAGTGGTTTATCTCACACAGAGCAAAGCTGAACCAGACATCCGTAACACACAGAGAGCTGTGCTTTGTGTTGGGTTGAATGGAGATGCTATTTGCTTTGGGAAATGGATGTTGACTTGAATCAATAGACACTTTTGTTACAAAAGACGGAATTTCTGTCTGTGAATCTTGGCTTTGACCAACAATTATACACCACTTTCTCTCTTCAGTGAGTTCTGGAGAATATTCCTCAAACATACCTGTCAGGTTGCTGTACTCTGAAGATTGTGGTCCTATTCTCTGTTAAAGTCAAGAGAGAACTTGTTTCAATTGCCTTTTCTTAGTAAAAGCTCAGAATCATAGAAAGTACAGCACAGACAATGGGGTACATTGAGGTTTTGTTGGTAATTTTGCCAGTTTTCTGTCCTCATTTCGTGGCCAACAATCCCCCAAATAGAATTGGCTATCTTTACAAATGTAATTTTGTTGTTGTGTCAGTCTGGTTCAGTTTCTAGGTCTTTTGCCTCTGAGTTACGAGATTGTGGATTCAAGCTCCAATCTGGGACTTGTGACCTATATAGTCAAGGACATAATAATAATAATAATATTAATAATATTAATAATAATGATAGACATGCCAGTCCAGTGCCGGGCGTGTGCTGTCCTTTGGATAACAACACAAATGACATTTCCAAGGTGCTGGACAGTCAGGGATCTGCACTCAAGCTGGTTGTTGGGATCAGGAGGGGGAGAGGGTGGGGGTAGGAGGGTGACCGAAGGCGCGGTTGGATGGTCTTGAGACAGGTCTTGAAGGAGCGAGAGAGGGGCGCGGCAGAAGACTGTGGGATGGAGTTCAGGAGGGTGGGGGTAGAGAGGCTGAACCGACTGAGCTAACTATTAAGCAGCTTATCAGAATAATGGGTAAAAAGAAAGAGAATTCATGTGTCTTACCGCTGTGGCTGTATTGGCTCCACTGTTAGATTGATGCGGTGCTGTAAGACAAAAAATACATATTATTGGACAAAGCGGCATTCACAGGAAAGTGTGGGTTAGAGTGAGGACCTGTTTCTTTCAGACGGACATTCTATTTTCTCACAAGAACTAAAGGGTTCATATCACAGAGATTTTCACAGTCAACATTGAGTAAATGACAGACAAACTGTGCTCATGGAGTTCATCTGTGTAAACAAATTGTTTAATGTAGAGTCCAGGCACAGACGATCGGTTGACTACAAACTGGAAACTTCTGTTCTTAGTCCCTCAGTTTCCGATAAAGGGAACATATTAACGGTGAAGGGTAACAGAATATGTGTGAAGATTAAACCAGAAGTCCTATTTTTAAATGGGAGTTAAAATAATCTGAATGTCTGTACCCACTTCAATTTTAAACAATAAGAATAATGTTCTCAATAAAATAGTGCACATAAACATAATTTTTAGTGGACATATAGTAATTATTCCTTATTGTAGACTGGTTATTCCATTTAGCAACCATTGCCCTATTTTGCAGGTCAGATGGTGTCTTAAATCTGTAACGGAGAACAACAGGACCTGCTGGAATCTGTCTTCTCCATGACCAATGTCAACATTACTCCTCGGCAGCTGGTAGGTACAGTTATCCCAGTGAGAGATCTTTTTCTCATTCCCTCCTAAAAATAATGGATTGTTTTTGTGTTTGTATTTTTTTCTGTTGAAATTAGGGGATCGTATTTGAAGTAGTTACAGTTGTTTAGCTGGAAGCACAGCTGGAGGCAAGAGGCATGTGCTGTGGCAGATGATAGCGAGAGATCAATTGTTTGAAACTCTCAATGTGATAAAGAAGAATAGCAACAACACAAAAACATATATGTACAGTAACACCTAAAAGAGAATATACTTCACATTCCTCCGAATGAATGAATGATTTCTTAATTTATAAAAGTTTGACTGAAGGTGCCATTCCCACATCCTTTTTCCAATCTGTTGAAATCATGTAAGTCAGTCACAGTCATTCTGAAGTTGGCTTAGGAAATGCATGAATGTGCAGGAGGATAACAGCGAGGGGAAACATGAGCAAAGTAGAAAGTGATGTTCAGAAACTTTAATTGAGGTCTAATTACATTGAAGGTTCTGCTCTTTCCTTTGCACTGTGGCATATTCTGTTTGTGATGGAGGGACTGTGTCGAAAAATATGATAGAACTTAGACCTACGCACTTTGGGGTGTCTGATTTCTAAAGGGAGGCTCAAGCTTCGTCTTGTTCTCGTAGTAAGTATGCAAGGAGCTTAATTGCAAAGCATGATATGAGGATTACATTAGTTTTGTTAATTCAAAGCTACAGTGGGGTGTAGCAATATATTAAATGGTAAATTAGAGCATTTCAATTAAGCCAAATTACTGAAATGTTGCGTTGGCATAGCAGCTTGTTATACGCTACAACTAGTTTACTTACTGTTTCCTGTTGCAGCCATTGTGACACCATTTTGATGATGTGATCCACTTTTCGCCCTAAATGAATGTTACACAACAGATCGGTTTGTAGATTTCTCAACAAGAGTATTTTACATAGATTTACATATAGATTTACATAGACTGTACAGCAGGGAAAGAGGCCATTTGGCCCACTGTGACCTTGCCGTTTATACTTCCACATGAGGGTCCACCCACTCCTTACTCCCTCCCACAGCCTTCTATTCCCTTCTCCCTCATGTGTATACCCGTCTTCCTTTTAAATGCATTTTAATCCGCGCAGTAAGTTCCTGGTACTTATTAATCAAACTACAAGTGAGGCCCAAAACCCACGCTTGTCAGATGACAACTGGTCACTATCCTCCTGGGGGGGTGGGGTGTTAGGGGATGGGGGAAGGTTGGCTAAACTGGCTCCAAGATGAGATTTTTGGCAATCTAAGTCGTCCAGTTCCTGAGCCAGGGGGGTCCGCAGTACTCCAGGGCACTGCTGATGACAGCACAGCCCACCCTGGCTCATCAACAGGACATGGAAGGAAAGACCAGTCACTGGGGGCAGGGAAACCTCCCACTCAGCTCCTGTTAACCCTGCAGCCAAAGCCCTAACTAACAGGTAGGGTGGTCCTCGCTGGGCAAGCAGTGGGAAAGTTGCCAGACAGCGCTCTCAATGGCCAAGCTATGTTTTTTTAGCAGCTTAGATTCCAACAGTTACCTCAGTGTACACTGGGGGTCCCCAAGCCTTGGCTCTCGCCAACCTGCGCTTAATGCAGTAATGAGGTAAGCAGTTGCTTCCCTCCAGGGAGGGAGTGGACATTCCATTCCAATAAATTTGTCAGGAATTTCGATGGGCTGTAAGAAACTAAACTCTCAGTTTTGTTTGGATGCTCTCAAACCAGTGATGGGTTTCCTCATGTGTCAGACACCCGGCTGACAAAATATAATAAATGCATCTATACTATCAATTTTAACCACTGCTTCAGACAACAAGTTCCATATTCTCTGTGGGAAGAAGTTCCTCCTAAATTCTCTTTTAGATCCCCTTAAAGTGGGAACAGCCAATTTATGAGAACCTTATTGAGTCCTTTTATCATTTTAAACATCTCCTTTAGGTTCCCTGTTAAACGTGTCTTCTCTAGTGATAACCATCTTTCTTCTATTTTGTGAAGGTTGTAGTTTTCTTACTCCTGTTGCAGGCTACAGCATGTACTCGCAAATCCCAAGAGTGCTTTCCATCTGCACACCAGACTGCATTGTCATAATGATAATAATCATTGCATTTGATACAGTGCCTTATCATGTCTTTGAGACGTCTCAAAATGCTTCGCAGAATATACTGTAGAATGAATTGACTGTATATTTTGTGTTCGAAACGGAGCAGCGAATTGCGCTACAGAAGGTCCCATAAAGAGTCATGGATTGAAGTGACCAACTTATTATATTTTTTTGAAGGAATTATTAACCCGGAAAAGTGATGTGCCAATCGACTAACAACCGGGTTCCTACTTACTTTTTAGTAAATGGAGGCATGTGTGTGGAGTAAGGAAACTCCACCCTTCCAGATCTGTCGCTTCTGAGGTGAGTGCTCTGACCAATAAGCTACAGGTCTCCATAGAGCGATGTTGCTATCTTATATTTGTATTCCTGGTGAAATTTGTATTTCGATGATGGGAGAAGATCCAAGATCAAATGGAAGAGTACTATTATAACCCACACTAAACTCTACCCCATCACACCAATCCGCGCCAGGCTCCACTATCACAGAATGGATCGATTTCAAGATCTTCTCACCCGTCTACAAATCCCTTCAGGCCCTGACACCTCCCTACCTCCCCGACCTACTTTCTCCCCAACCCATTACCCACTGCCTCGCTCGGTTGGCTCCGGCTTTCAGACACTACACCCCGAAGCTTTGAAACTCTCTCCCCCTATCCCTCTGCTTTGCCACCTCCTTTCCCTCTTTTAGATCACGCCTGAAGACTTTGTTCTTCGACCACGCTCACGGTCACCTCCTCCCCCCGGCTCGGTGTCAGGCTCCGTCACAGCACTCCGAGACGCTACACCATGTGAGGGACGCTATATAAGCTGTTGTTGTTGAGTGAATCTCCAGTAAGAACTGGTAATCTTAAAATCTTTTATCTCTGAAATAATTTTACGCGAGAGCCACAGACTAAAAGTACTAAAAGTGAATATGCAGTTTAATATGTGTTGCTGTTGAACTACAGGCACAAGGCATCAATATAAATGTAAACAGTATGTCAGCTTCTAGTTTTTTCTCTTTCAACAAATATATCCAAATGGAAATCTTATTCCAGCAGGGCAAGAAAGCAAAATGCATTGCTTGCAATCCCTGGAAACCTAAACTTTTCTTGCAGCAAGGAAATAACATTGCTTTCATAGAATAGCCTGTCCGCGCTCTCCGCTCAGCAGGCTCCGGCCTACTTCACGTCCCCCACCCCACCCACCCCACCATCATCAGCTGGGCCTTCACCTTAGGGAACTCTAACCCACATTCCATTCCCCTCGCTCCCTCCCTTGCTTCCTTCAGGGTGCGTCTCAAAATCCTCTTTGCCTGAGCCTTCGGCCACCCTCCTACCCTCCCTGCCCTCCCCAAACCCGATCCCCAAATCGGGTCCAAGTCTCTGACGAGCAGCACCTCGGGATGTATAGCCCCTTTCCGATTTGAAAGGCTCTATACAAATGTAATATTGCCTAGAATACGAAATACAAAAAGGGAGGCAATCGGCACTATGTAATAATCCTTACATTTGATACAGTGTCTTATCCTGACGTCGAAATTTCTCAAAGCGCTTCATAGGATATGTTGTAAAGTGGTGTGACTGAGTGTGTTTTGTAGGCAAACACGGCAGCCAATTTGCACACAGCTATATCACACGATCAAGTGGTACATAAAGGATATGACATGGAGAATGTATCACAGCAAAAAGAGAGAAACTTGGATATGAAGCAGCAAACAATTATAACAAATACAGACAGTCATAAAGAATGAGGCGTTCTTTACCATCTTCACAATAAAGTAGCATTAAGATTCTTATAGAAGTATTTACCTTCCTTTTACTTTGACGACCCATACGACAAGTGCAGTAATCAGAGCAACGCCAACAATACAGGCAATCACTATTCCTGCTATCGCTCCACCGCTTAAACTGTTAGGAGGACCGCCTTTGGCTGTAAGATAATAAAATCAAATATTCCAGTCAGACGAGACAAAGTACAATTTCAGATAAATAATGTTACCCGAATACAAATATTTAAATGCCGGGGAACAGGTGTGAAATGTAGTTTGATTTCAACAGACTGAGAATTGAATCATCAATGACCTATCTACAGCTTTCCAGCAGAAAGATGAATTAATAATAGCTAATGGTATTCACATGTGTAAGAGAATGGTTCTTGCCATAATGATATGCAACATTATATTTCACTGCCTTCTTTTCCTTGTTCCTTCCTCCATTCATTTAGATCACCCAGAAATCCGTCACAACAACAACAAATTACTCTTGTATAGTGCCCTTCACATTGGAAAAATGTCTCAAAGCGCTGAACAGTCAGGGAGTTTTGGACCCGAGCTGGGCATTGGGGTCGGGAGGGGTGGAGGTGTGGGTGGGAGGGTGGCCGAAGGCACGGTCAGAGAGGAAGGTCTTTAGACGGGGCTTGAAAGAGGTAAGAGAGGCGGTGAGGCTGAGGGATTGCGGGATAGAGTTCCAGAGTGTGGGAGCAGAGATACTGAATCCCCAACCGCCAATGGTGGGGCGGGAAGTGCTGGAGACATGAAGACAGTGTCCACCAGAGGAGGGAGCGGGCAGCCTAATATGGGGTTAGAAGGTCAAAAAGGAGGAGGGAGCAATTCAGTGGAGGGCTTTGAAGGTGAGAATGAGAGTTTTGTACTCTGTTCTCTGAGGGCCAGAATGCTGAAGGGGACACAGACAGAGTTCCACATATGCATCAAAGTTTCCCTTTGTGTGGAATGAAGATAATATTCTCTCCTCAGATGAATGCCTCTCACCCTGGAAAGTATTAGGCACAGGTTGGCAGCAGTCAAGGCTTAGGAGATTGTCTTGGAAGCTTCCCGTTGCTTGTTCTGTGAAACTGTCACTGTCACTTTCACAGTGAGACCTTGGTTTAGATATGGTCAACTGGGCCCAATGTTTTAGTGACAGCGCTATAAGTGAAGTGCGCTATAACGCCCAACTTCTTAACTTCCAATCATCAGGTCTCTGCTGATGTCAATTCCTGCACAAAATGAGCAGGAAACTCCACTTTGAGTGAAGTCAAGGACACTTATTGTGCCGTTCAGTAGCTCAGTGGTTAGAGAGCTTGTATTGCAAGCGAGAGGTCCCGGGTTCAATTCCTGTTCAGGGCGAAATGTAGGCAAATTCCCTTACTCCACACACACACACACAGCTCTGTTTACTGAGCAGTAAATAGGAACCCGCCTGTTAGTCAATTGGCGGATCGCTTTCCAGGGGTAATAATCCCTTCAAAAACATTTAAAAATGAAAAAATGATAATAATTTGGTCACTCAATCCACGACTGTTTGTGGGACAGGGCTGTGCGCAATTAGCTGCCATGTTTGGCCCACAAAACACACAGTCACTGCACTTGACAGTGTATCTTTTCAAGCGCTTTGAAACGTCTCAAAGACATGATAAGACGCTATTATTATTATTAATCTTGGGACGTCCTCCCGAAGTGAAAGGCGCTTTTCAGATGTAATTTTGTTGTTGTTGCTGGTTTCTGCGTAGTGCAAGTCAAAGGCACACACAATGTGCAGGAATTGATGTTAGCATTGCAAGAGAGAGAGAGAGATCGATAGAGAGGGAGGGTGTTTCCTCCTTGTCTTCTCCAGGTCTGTGGTCTGTCTGTCTCTCTCTCTCTCTCTCTCTCAGGCTCCTCATTCTCTCTCTGCCATAGTCCCACTCTCTCTTGTCTGTCCGTCTGTCTATCTCCCCCCTTTCTCTCTGTCTCCCCCTTTCACTGTCCACTCATGAACGCTGCAGTTCATGACTATTTTTGGTAATATTTGGAGGTTATAAACATATAAGGGCACAGAAATGTTTGAGATCCCTAAACTGTTATGAGTTCAGTAGAATTTCTTTGCATTGTTGGGTCAACTTTAAACATTTGCAGTTAACTGCACTTATACAGTTAAAGGAAAAAATACCAGTAATGGTGCATTATTTTTAAGCAAGGTTCAAAATCTTACTGTCAATCACACTGTGATCTGTGAGATCCACTCAATTTTCTTAAGAGTTTAAAGGATTTTGAATCAACCCGATTCTGTAAATGTATGAAAACAGACAAAGGGGAAAACTAAAGGGATGAGAGAGAGAGAGAGAAAGAGAGCGAAAAAAAGAGATGAGAGGGAGAGAGGAAAACAGAGAGATAGACAAGAGAGAGTAAGGGAGATTATATAAGGAGGGTAATAATTCCTTCAAAAAATAATAATAAATTGGTCATTCAATCCACGACTGATTGTGGGACACTGCCATAATTCGCCCACAATATATAGTCCATTCACTTCACAGTAAATTCTGTGAAGCGCTTTGAAACGTCTGAAAGACGTGATAAGGAGCTATATCAAATGCAAGGATTATTATTATCAATTATTATTATAGACAAGAGAGAGTAAGGGAGATTAAGAGAGAGGGAGACCAAGAGGAAAATAGAGAGACAGAGAAAGGTGGTGACAGACCCAAATGGCACGTGGACAGATTTTCGGAGTTTAGCATTCTCCTCCAAGGCACACAATCATCCAACACAATAATTATTAATAATCCTTACATTGGATATAGCACCTTATCATGTTGTCGAGATGTGTCAAAGCGCTGCACAGGATGTAATGTAAAGTGCACTGATATTTTGTGGACAAATGTAGGAACTATTTTATGTTCAACAATATCACATGAACAGTTAATGACCAATTTTATTTGGGGGAAGCGCTCTGAGACGTGACCTGACAGGAGGGGTGCTATATATATGCAAGTTCTTCTTGTTGTTAGCGATGAAACTCAGAGAGAGAAACTCCATTCTGTTGTCAATAGTACTGTGGGATCTTTAATGTCTATATAGACAGTCACAGGACTCTTCAGGTTTAACGTCTCATCCGTTAGTACCTCTAACTCCTCCGGCTCCGGTCTGCTCCACATCCCCCGCCCCAACCGCCCGACCATCCACCTTCAGCCTCTCAGCCCCGAGGCTCTGGAACTCTATCCCCCAATGCCTTCGCCGCTTCCTCCCTTTCCTCCTTCAAGGCCGGTCTCAAGACCTTTCTCTTCGACCGTACCTTCAGCTCCACTCTCGACTCTCTACCCCCTCCTCGCTCCCTCCCTTCCCTCCCCTCACCCTGACCATTTCCCCCCTCCTCGCTCCCTCCCTTCCCTCCCCTCACCCTGACCATTTCCCCCCTCCTCGCTCCCTCCCTTCCCTCCCCTCACCCTGACCATCTCCCCCCTGCTCGGCTCCCGACCCAACTGTCCAGCGCCTTGGGACGTCCTCCCGACGTGAAAAGCGCTCTATAAATGAAATCTTGCTGTTGTTGTAACACATCACACCCCAGCACTGCATTGCAGTGACAGCCTCGACTATACAGGTACCAAGTTCCAATGTGGGGCCTGAACCCACAATCGTCTGATTCAGAGGCAAAAGCGCTGCTAACTGAGCCATACTGACAATGAGGCAATCAAACTCCACCACAGTTAGCAGAACATAAGCACAAGATCAACTCCTAATATTTGTTTCTTCAAGTATGTCAGTATGTTCATGTCAATCAGACAGAGCATCATTGGGCCTGGATAAAAGAGTGGCAATATAAATATAAATTTGCATACGGGGTCTTCTGTGAATCACATGGAAACTACTTTTCAACTTCCACTCTTAATTCTAGATTTTCTGATGTTGATAACTATTCATAACTTATTAAATTACAAAACATCGCTGCATTTGAAACACAAGAGTTGGTGCTGAACATCAATGCAATGCATTTGCTACCACTATACAGAAGAGTATATTGAGCTCCCAACGTAGAAAAGCTAGAAATATCATGACCACATCATGATAGCACATCACAGCACAGTACGTTCACTTACCCTGTAAAGTTACGTTTAATGTTGTCTCATTCACTCTTAAGGTAACGTTGTTACGAGCCTGACAAGTGTAACTCCCAAGGTCAGTCGGGCTTATTTGATGAATGGTGAGCTGTGGAGTTGTGTGTGACAGAACGGTGCCATTAAATATCCATTTATACTGAGCTTCTGGGTTTGACTGAGCAGAACAAGACAATGTTAGAGAGTCTCCAAGTTCTGCTGAGTGTGTCCCAGTGATTGTAAGCTCAGGGGTGTCTGGTCCATCTGCAACAGACGCAAGAACGGCTTCTTTATTACCACTGAACGTAAAGCATAAGATTGAAGCCTTATTCTGAGAGGTGACTGAGTACTTACACGCAATGCTCAGTGTGTGGCTGCCGGACTGAGAGCTAAGGCTGTTCTTTGCCTCACACCGATACGTTCCACCATCATTTCTAGTCACACTGATGATGGTCAGGGTGGCATTATCCTGGGAGATTGTGATCCTGTCATTGCTGTGGAGAGCTCTCTCATCCTTAAACCACAACCGTGACTCAACAGTGCCTTTAACATCACATGTCAGTGTCACAGTGTCATTGTATTCTATCGGGTTGGGAATGTTCTGTGTTACGGTGACGCTGGTGATTTTCTCTGTAAATAGAATGATAATAGAATCATACAATTATAAACCAGTTGTTATGCTGAACTTTTTGACAGTTATTCTTTTGGTTTCTGTTCTGTTTTAATAGTGCTGTAGCTCATTGTGCAATTCTCTTTAAGGGGGTCCTGGGTTATAAAATGTTGGGCAAGTTTCCTGACTCCACACACACTCACACACCTCTGTTTGTCTATCAGTGAGTAGAAACCCGGTTGTTAGTCGATCGGTGGATCAATTTTCCGGGGGTAATAATTCCTTCAAATAATAATACTAATAATTTGGTCACTTCAATCCATGACTGTTTGTGGGACACTGCTGTGCGCATTTGGCTGCCGTATTTCTCCCACAAAATATTCAGTCACTACACTTTATTGGATATTATGTGAAGCACTTTGAGACGTCTCGAAGACGTGATAAGGCACTGTATCAAATACAAGGATGATTATAGTATCATGATCTGTTTGCCACATACCCAAGGACTGACACAGCGGACCTTTATCAGGAGAATTCTAACCCCATCAGAAGGCATTGCTGGAGTCCATAACACTGTAATCTGCCTCATAGCGCAGTGTGATCAGCAGTGGCTGCTCGTCAGTGATGACATGACGGTGACTGCTTGGATTCCTGAACCACAAACAGCCCAACTTCAGGGTCACCACTTCAGTTTGCATCAGCTGCTGTACATGTTTGTTATGTGCGAAGCCTTCCTTTCTTGTGCTGAAGACAATCCATGTCTTGGAAGTAAATTCCATATTATAACAGGACCCCTTAAAGAGAGTTTCACAATGTCATTGGTATCAATCCTTTTCACTTTGCTGTAATAATCAATAACCACATTAAGCGAACTGACCGTCCCGAATACTGATCCAAGAATAATACTGAAGGACTAATAGTGACTCAACCCTAAAACTAATAATAACAATAATCCTTGAATTTGATATAGCGCTTTTCATGTCTTCTAGACATCTGCAGTGCTTCATAGAATATACTGTAAAGTGAATTGACTTGTGGGCGAAACGCGAAAACCAATTTTGCAACGTAGTGTCCCACAAGCAGTCGTGGATTGAGTGACCAAATAATATTTTTTTTCTTGAGGGATTATTATCAGGCATGTGTAGTCAGGAATCTTGCCCAAGGTTTCACCCTGCCAGTCATCGAACCCAGGTCTCTCACTTGCGAGGCGAGTTCTCTAATCACTGAACTCCAGGATTCCATACCGGACTAACCTAAACCTGTCTCTAATACAGACTAGCTTCCGACCCTTATACTGAGATATTGAATCCTGGCTTCTGTCCAGGTGGACATTAATAATAATAATCCTTTGCTCCTTATCATGTCTTCGAGATGTCTCAGAGCACTGGGCGAAATGTGGCAGCCAATGGCGCACAGCAGTGTCCCACAAACAGTTGTGGATTGAGTGATAAATGTATTGTTTGTTTGCGTCCTTGAACAATATAGTGTGTCAGCCCGGCTCAATTAGTGGCACTCTCATCCCCGAATCAGAAGGTTGTAGTTTCAAGCCATTGTAAGGACAATGTAAGGAATTATTACCCCCAGAAAAGCAATCCACCAATTGACTAATAACAGGTTCCTACTTACTGCGAAGGTAAATAGAGGTGTGTGGAGTAACGAAACGTTTCACCTGCCGGGAATCAAACCCCGGTCTCTCACTTGTGAGGCGAGCGCTCTAACCCCTGAGCTACAGGACCCCACTATTCGAAAATAGAATGGAGTTCCTTCTCCTGGTGTCCAGGGTGACAATCCTACAAATAAAATTAACCCCTCACTCTGAGGCAGTTGGCGGGGAGATTGCTGTTTGCAAAGTTGGCTATCATATTTGCCCAGAAAATACACCAAGCGACATCACTTCACAGTATCCTATGAAGTGCTTTGATGTGTCGGTGATGTGATAAAGTGCCATATCAAATGCAAGGATTATTCTCGTTATTATAATGAATTAAGCCCCTTGATAATTCAGAAGAATGGGTCATGGATTATATTATTTTAAACCACCTCTCTGGCTTTCCTCCACCCAATCCCATCCCTCCCCCATGCTCGCGTCCTGACCCCTGACTGTCCAGCGCCTTGGGAGATCCTCCCGACGTGAAAGACTCTCTATAAATGTAATTTTGATGTTGCTTTACTTTGAGATAGACCATCATAGCCTTTCCAGTCCTGCACATTCTTACATACATGGAATTTATAAAAAGAGTATTGAAAGGGAGATAAAGAGAGCATGTGGGGTTGATTCACTCCCTTCTGTTTTAACTTCTTGAGATTGTTAACTATTGTTAACTATCACATGATATTCTTTCTCCTTAAAAATACCTGTTGAACTCTCTAAATATTCACTTTTGACAGTAAAGTTGCAACTTAGTTGGGAAGAAAAATGGCAGAGAAGCAGCACTGCTTGTAGTTTAACTGTAAATTAAAAATGGCATAAATTATAGGTACATTTTATGACGTAAAACAACAAATTTTACGTCACAAGGTCAATCCGGTAGCCAGGAATCTCTGCTCCTGTTATTTTCTTTAAATTTTCACAAAATCAAACGCAAGACTTACCCATCAACACTCAGTACAGTTAAACGTTTGGCAAACTTTAAAATAACACATTTCTCAGCATCAAATGAACAAGTGGTAAACTTACATTTGATAGAGTCTTCATGTCAGGAGGAAGTCTCAAAGTGCTTCATAGGATTTACTGTGTATTTATAGTCAAACGCAGCAGCCAAATTGCTTCTGTCCCACAGACAGTCACAAAACAAATGACTAATTTTATTTGAGGGATTGTCGGCCAGGAATCTCCATATTAGGGTTCCTCTGTTTTCGAATCGTGCAGTGGATGAGCTTTAATGTCCTCCAGAACATGCACACGGGCTGTAGTTTAACATCTCGTCTGAAGGACGGCAGCTCTGAACATAGCAACATAGGAACAGGGATAAGGCATTCAGCCTCTCGAGCCCATCCGCAACAAGAAAATGCCACACTCCCCCGAGCACTGCTTTGGAATGTCATCTTAGACTATGATAGTTCAAGTCCCAACGTGGGCCGAACCAGAATATGGTCATTCACTCCACGGATGTTTGTAGGACATTGCTGTGGACACTGTCTGCCACAGTCACACATACACACAGTCACAGCACTTTACAGTAAATCCTATGAAGCGCTTTGAGATATCTTGACAATGTGATAGTTGCTGTGCCAAAGGCAACGAGATACCAAATGTAAGGATATGATGGATTATATATTACATACCGATGATAATGATTTCTCTTGTGGCTGACCTGTACCTTTGGGTTACACTGTTAAAGGCTGACACGTGTGATTCCCAGCGTTCTTCGGGGTAATATTGGGAATGAGAAGGTCTGAGTCATTTTGTAGAAAAGAGGAAGTATTGAAATACCATTGAAATTCACAAGGTGGGTTTGATTCCGCAGAACACGAGAGATTAGCAGTTGATGCTGAACTAATTAATTGACTGATATGTTGGGATATCCTGGTCCATCCAAAATAGATCACAGGTTGGTTCAAACACAATCTTTGTGTGAGGTAAGTATCATGAGGTGCAAACAATTCCCACGCAGCCTGGCACGTAGAACTAAAACCGCCGACTGTAAAAAGTAATCCATGGATACTGCTGGATATACCTACCACTGTGAAATGACATCTTAAGTACAAAATATTACGTAAATGATTTGTTTCTTCACACAAGTCCCTGTTATCATTTAACATGTGCAGAACAACAACAGTTTGCACGACATAGCATGTTTTAGGGTGTCAGCCTGACTGCTGACAGCTCTCACCCCCACCACCCCTGCCCTGCACCCCTCCTGACCCCAACTCCCAGCTCGGGTCCAAACCCCTGACTGTCCCGGGCACTACACAAGTGTAACTTGTTGCTGTGTGTCAGTACGTTGTGGGTTACACAATAGGACTTTGAACTCACATTATTGAGCGCCACATTTCAGCAAAAATACACACAGTCACAACCACTTTACAGTAAATCCTGTGAGGTGCTTTGAGAATTCTTTTGACACTCCAACACAGGGCTGAGGGTGTACTGGTACGCGACTCTGTGTGTTTAAGTTCCACATAGACTTCTAAATGTTGTTCTCAATCTGAATCCTGGAGTAAAAAGCTATTACCAAACCACACCAGGGTTTACAATAATGAGAAACGCTATGTGAGAAGCTAATTATAATTACTATTTTCACTACTATAACACTTCATTTAATCCACCAACATCAGAGACAGAGGAAACACAGACAACAAAAGCGTAAGGTTAGTAGAGGCGCAGGGACATATTGCACATTAGGTTAGCACTGTTACAGGGGGATCTATATTGCACAGAAGATTGCATTATACAGTGCCTTTCATGTATGATGTTCTCATGTGGAAATCTGTAGCTTAGTGTTCAGAGCACTCGCCTTGTAAGCAGAGACCTGGGTTTGATTCCCGGCCGTGCGAAACGTTGGGCAAGTTTCCTTACTCCACACATCTCTGTTTACCTCTCAGTAAATAGGAACCCGGTTGTCAGTTGATGGACAGATCGCTTTTCTGGGAGTAGTAATTCCTTCAAAAAAAAGGTCACTTTAATCCATGACTGTTTGTGGGAACCCACTGTGAGCAATTAGCTATCACGTTTCACCCACAAAATGTAGTCAATTCACTTTACAGTTTATTCTGTGAAGCGCTTTTAGACATCTCAAAGACATGATAAGGCACTATATCAAATGCAATGATTATTATTATGTCTCAGAACATTACAGAGGAGAGGTCAGACACTGAGCAGAGAGGATGTTTATCATTTATTGCCAACTCTCTTTTGATCAAATAAAATCATTGATATTGATATTAATTCCAGCTCTGAAGTGGTCAAAGCAGTTAAATGCCTAATGTGAGCACATGTCTTTCACACAAGATGGAAAATTGAGCTTCTTTTATGCAAATCAGTTATCCAGGGTTGGTAATAAATAATAATTAGCAACAA